ATATATATATATATATATGGTAAAATCATTTCTACAGCCGCTTTACGTACAACAATGAAAGATGTATGATTATGATTCCTCATATTTAATACTTTCACGTATATATATGACAAGTATTTGACTGCTGCATATATAGCAATTCTAGAAATGTAATCCCTATATATATATATATATATATATATATATATATATATATATATATATATATATATATTATGGAGAGAGATCATTTGACTCCAGAGTAAGACTTTTAAGTCTTACTCCTCATCCTAATATATATATATATATATATGTGATACAATCATTTGACACCGATCATTTGATATATGTGCAGTAGTCAAATGAGTATGACCCAATAAATCTTAACCGTTGATTTTCGATAATTTTTTTTTGTAAGCTTTTAGGAACGAGATCATTTGATACCGGTGTCAAAAAAATTTACTTTGACACCAAATTTAACCGTTGATTTTTGCCAATCTGGTGGTTATAAATTATTACAAATTAATAGTTAATTAATAAGTGTGACCCAATAAATTGTAACGGTTAGATTCACGAAAATTAAAAGTTAAGATTTGATGTCAAACATTTTAATTTGATACAGATGTCAAATGATCTTGCCCCTATAATTTATTGAAAATTAATAATTAATTAATAAGTATAACCCAATAAATTATAATCGTTAGATTTACGGATTCAACAGTTAAGATTTGATGCAAACTTTTTAGTTTAATATCGTGTAAAAGGATCCTGCCTATATATATATATATATATATATATATATATATATATATATAATATGGGAAGGATCCAGTTACAAACTTTATATATAATATGGGAAGGATCCGGTTACAAACTTTTTTTACGAATTTTTGCAAATTATATTATGTACTCCCGGAAGTACATAGTGTACTTCCAACACAGTGTAGTTTGTAAACAAAAAATTTGTAAACATAACCCTCCCCATTTATATATATATGGAAAAAAAATTGTAAAATAACTGCACCTAAAGATTTGTATGATTCACTATATGTACTTTCGGAAGTACATAATTGACTGCACCAATTCTTAGGTGCAGTTACTGTACATCGACTAAACCTATATATGTGCTTCGATAAAATTTATCTGCAATTTGAACTTAATTAAAATATCAATTTATATATTTTACTTATTATATTTAGGCTTGTAAATGATGATCACATTAACAATTTTATATTAATATCTCTAGCAAGTATTAAAAAATCCATCTTCTAATAGCATACAAATTTTTTTAATAAAATAAAGAGTAAAGTGCATTTTGGATCCCTAACAAAAAATATAGTCCTTATTTTAGTCCTTTACAAAAAAAAACAATTAGTCAACTGGTTCTTATGAAATTCAGAGTGAATCCATTTTAGTCCTTTTGAAGTACTAATATGGATTGTTTTGAATTTGTGAAGTACCACAATTTTAACTAAATGGATCTATTTTAAATTTTTTAGAGACCTCAGGACTAATTTTTTATTTTTTTTGTAAGAAATTATAATAAGGATCGTGATTTTTGTTAGTGATCCAAATTCCAAAGGAACTTTACTCTAAAATAAATTATGTGAGATTTGAATGTACCGAGACCTTTGCTGCCATCGAATCGATTCTTCCTTTGTTTATGAACTCATTATTATGTCCCTATATTATTGGGTTCATAATCAATTATTGAAAACATGACAAATTTTGGTGGGGCATGGATTCTATTCCTTTTAACTTTTAAGAGAGTCCCATCGATCACTTGTGTACGGAGGTGTCGAAAGTTAGAGAGACCGAGATGAAAAATTGAGTATAAAATAAAAAAATAAAAAAATTAAGTACATTATAACAACAAGTACACTTAATTCGGTTGGTTAGTGTATTGGCTAATCTGAATGAACTTAATTCCTTCTAATAGTATTATCCTTCTATTTGTAGATGTTTAGTTTAGCAATTATTATCAATGAATATGAAGTAGTTATTGAAGAAGTAGATAATTAACAATTGTATAAATCGTGATTTTAACAATACAGAGTAGGAAAGGATCGTGAATTTAAACCCACGCATAGAGGCATTGGGCCAACACGAGTTATACATGGCTGGACCTATCCAGGTTCCTCACCCGGAACACATTCAAACATTTTTTAAGATAGGTATCATCCTCTTGTTCGCCATTAATTTTTGAGTATTTTTCCATGTCTGAGTTGTTAGTATGGTGCTTTCTTAAGTCTTCCAGTCTCTATGATTTTGATGGCAAAAGAAATATTCAACTTTTTCCACACAAAAAATATATTCAACTTTATACTATTTGTGTTAAGGTACAATATTTATTAAGATTTTATACTATCTGTGTTAGTTCTTATTAATAAAAATGATAATATTTAAGTAAGGGACAAATGATTCTGATATTAACATTCACGTGGGTCATGACCTCCGTGGCGGTTGCATGGGTCATGACCTTTGTTGATATTATTGATATTTGCAAGAATTGACTTTTTTCCAACAATGTTATTATAAGAAAAAGTCGAACCCTATGTTAATGGGTCATTCACATATATTGAATAAGAATAAGTTGATCACTTACATTTTTGTACCTAATCTCTCTTCTTCTTCTTCTTCTTCTTCTTCTTCTTCTTTTTCTTTTATTTTGAGATATGAATTTTTTTGGAAAAAGGTAACTTGTGGTTACACTTTACTAACATCTACAGCCTTTCTTTGTTTTTTACACTTTGTACATTTTATTTTATATATATATATATATATATATATATATATATATATATATATATATATATATATATATGAGGTGGGATCCTTTGACACCGATGTCAAATTTAAAGTTTGACACCTCATCTGAGAGCCGTTAGATCAAAAAAGATCAATGGTGTCACATGCTTATAAATCAGAGCCGTTGATCTTTTTTGATCTAACGGCTCTTACATGAGGTGTCAAACTTCAAATTTGACACCGGTGTCAAAGGATCCTGCCTCTATATCTATATAGAAAAATTATTTTTATATCAATATAAGAATAAGAAATCTTACCTATAAATCAAAATTGTTAAATATAAATAAAATGAACTATGAAAATTAAAAAATAATTTATATTAATATAAAATGATCTTTTATATATATATATATATATATATATATATATGAGTTTGATGTCTCTCGTATAGCAGAAGATAAAATTATCTCCTATATACATATAAAAATATATGGAACCCATGTGAAATCTTGTAAACAGAAAAAAAAAAAAAATTGAATTTCAGACACTTTTATATTTTATATGAGTATAAAAAATAAAAAATGATCTGTTTACAAACTCTTTTTATAAATTACACTAAATATAGTTTGTAAAAAAAAAAAAATTCGTAAAAAAAAAAATTATTTCTTATACTATGAAATACAATAAACTCTGTGTATATATAAAATGGATCCACTAGTACTAGGGAATATTATACAGCAGCGAAAGAAGTGGTCCATGATAAATAATTTACTAATAGTATCTGTACAGTTGGGCCAAAAGCCAGATTGTAATGCAACGTTGGTCCTGTCCTGCTACAACATAACGTGTAAGGCAAAGACAAGACAGTATCAGCACTCAGCAGGCGTGGCCATTTCTTTTTGGTCTTTGCGATGCTTCTAAAATGTACTTTGCATTTACGGATTCGAATCTGTTCTGTATAATTTAACAAGATTGTCATTAATTAAGTTAAGACAAGAATTTTAAGTGAAGTTTTTTTCTTAGTTTTGGTACAAAAGGTTTATTGTTATTTATTTGAGTCCGAATTCTCTCGTGTGAAAAAAATATGACATGATCATGTGGAGAACCATAACTATACAAAGATGAATTAATAGTAATAAAAGAAGATATAGAAAAAATATTATAACAGATAGTTACAAAATCATAACCATTTATTTACTTTTCTATGGTTGTGATCTTTTTATATGACTATGTCATATTTTTTTTCAATATCATTTCCTATTTATTTTTATAAAAAAAAAACTGTTTCACATAGAAAAATAATATGATTTTTTTAGGAACACGACAAGATATAAATTTAAATAAAAACATGCCCTATTTAAGTGGAATATATGTCTTTTACTTTTCTATTTCTCTCTTAATTATTACCACAGAAATGGTAAAGACACAAAATGAGATCTTGAAAATAGGACACAGGCCCGAGTAAGAAGGAATTCAACTCTAAATTTAATTTTTTTAATAAAATCTAGGATGCACAATAAGACATAAAATGCAAATAATAAATACTAATATAGTACAAAAATCAAAGCAGAATATTTTTCCAAAAACAAAAGTTACTATTCAGATATTTTAATATAATAATTTATAGTTTTTTTTTTCACGGACAATTAATTGCTTACCTAAATAATATTGTATGCACCACCAAAGAATAATAATATTTTGCACACATTGTCAACTATTACGCACACAATTTAATAATCGTGAGATTCTTGTCAAATACAACACCATAATTATAGAAATAAAGTATTTCATTTTTAAAAAAAATCTTTTAGTTTCTCCATTTGTCATCATTACCAATAATAGTATACATGGCAGTAACATTTTATTAATTTATAATTTCTTTGATAATAGTCCATATTATAATTGTCAAAAGGCTTTGGAATACACCAAATGATAATACCTCACTTGCCACTAAGAAACTGAGTAGGTCAGGACAAGGATGATAATGTATATTTGATTCTTTTCAATATCATTTTTGAAAGTAATTTAAAATCTTAATTCCAAAATTCATTTTAAATTGAACTAATTGCAAAATAATAAATCGATCGAAATATTTAAAAATAAAATAAAAGCTTCTGAATACAAGTGACGTAGGATGAAACTCTTTCAAGAATATTCGAATTAAAAAATTTAGTTATTATTATTACATCAGTCATTAAATGAATCTATCTATGAATCAGTGTTTTTTTTTTCGCTTTTTTCTTTTTCTCTTATATATCTGTGTGTGGCTGTTGCATGGGTTCTATGACCTATTGACCTTTGTTGATAATTGATTATTCATGGACGGGAATTCGGGTTCGGATACGACGAGGCCGCTGCTGGCCAAGAATGATCGGAGCTCCGCCGAACACGGTGGTTGGATAGGCCGAATCACTCGCCGAAACTCTGTTAACTCGCTCAGAGCCGCCTTCCTGTCCAAGCTTCCCGATAAGGTCCGTTCTGGCCTTGACTCTGAGTCTCCTTTCGACCTTGATCTCTCCACCACCACCGCCTTAAGCCAAGGTCTCTCTCTATATATATATATATGTGTGTGTGTGTGAAATTGAATCTTGAACACTTAAGGTCGTATCATTGGTGTTTAATCTTGCACATAATAATTTTATCAGAAATCAATTATTAGATTGAAATTGTGTTACACATATCATGCTCATAAAATTTCACATCAATTAATGTGTTATATATATATATATATAGAGAGAGAGAGAGAGAGAGAGAGAGAGAGAGAGAGAGAATATCGCTAATGTTTTGATACCAGAATTTTCTGTTTAGCATTATGTTGTCAAGAATTATACTCTTTCCTGCAATATATCTCTATTTGATACATTGATAATAGTAATTAGAGTTAGTAATGGGACAATGTTCAATCAATAACAGAGGAATTAATTTAAGTCGAGTGTGTTACAATTTCATGTTGTGCATATATGTCCTTGAACTAATGTGTTTCGATGTTTATAGGAGAGAAAGAATACTATGAAAGACAATTTGCTACTCTAAAATCATTTGAGGAAGTGGACTCTGTGGTGTCATCTGATTGTGTTGTTGAGGATGACGATGAGGAACAGATTCAGCAAGAAAGAGCAATGAAGATCTCTAATTATGCGAATATAGTTTTGTTGATATTAAAGGTGATATTTCATTTGATGTTTCTATGTTTTCATTTATCACTCTAAGGAACTGTTCTGACTAGAATTGTACTTTGTGATGTAACAATATGCACATCCATATCTAGATTTATGCCACATTAAGGAGTGGGTCAATAGCTATTGCAGCATCAACTCTGGACTCCCTACTTGATCTTATGGCTGGTGGCATACTTTGGTTCACTCACGTTGCAATGAAGAATATAAATATCTACAAATACCCAATTGGAAAGCTGAGGGTGCAGCCTGTAGGCATAATTATCTTTGCTGCTGTCATGGCAACACTTGGTGCGTCAAACTGACTTAAACTTTTCCTACCATCCACATTGTTCATTATGTTGTTACTCAAGTGTTTATATCATTAGCGTTTCCTCCTCCTGAGAAATGCAATCTACAAAATCTGTTTCATTTAATAAGATTTGTATCAAAATTTCTTTGTCTTTTATCTTTGAGTTGAAAGATGCCTGGTTCAGATTACAATGGTGGTTCTGTTTTATTCATTGGACCATAAATCAGAAGATCCTAGTATGAGAAAGAATGGTGTCTGACCTGTATCTGCCCCAAGTTTTAATACATTACATAGCTTGTTTTTTGCCTCAAAAAATTGACAACACACAACTTTTTGTCATACTATAGTGAGAGAACTTGAACTTAATTTTGTTAATGAAGTGCTGGATAAAATGTGTACTTCAACCTATCGAAATATACATTCAAGTGTTGATGGTTAGAATTCTACTTCTTTTCAAATTACATATTTTGGTACCTTACAGTTTTCACGAACTTGTTCTCTTGGAATCTGTCAAAAATATCCATACATTGTCATACAAGAAATTACAATTTACATGATTTGTGGAATCTATTTTGCTACAGGATTTCAAGTATTAATCACCGCTGTAGAACAACTAATACAAAACAAACCTCCTGAAAAGATGTCTGCTGAACAACTAATATGGTTGTACTCTATTATGATATTTGCAACGGTAGTGAAGCTTATGCTCTGGTTTTACTGTAGAAGTTCAAAAAACAAGATTGTCCGTGCCTATGCAGATGTAAGGGTCCTTCTCTTCTGATGTTTACTATATGAATTAAGTCAAAATATAATTGAACCATCTCAAAAATGCCAACATGCAGGATCACCACTTCGATGTTGTGACAAATGTGGTTGGATTAGTTGCGGCTGTTCTTGGTGATAAATATTATTGGTGGATTGACCCAGTTGGTGCTATTTTGCTTGCTATTTACACCATCTCAAATTGGTCTCGCACTGTCATGGAAAATGCAGGTAATTAATCTACGATATCCTTATTAGAATTACGAAAAGAAAAATGTTACAAGTATAGATGCCCGTGAGAGGGAACAAAAATGTAAATGAGCTTTGGTAGCAAATTAGCAATATCTAGTGTTTCTGTTGGGAAATGGGATGGTAAAACAGTGTTTTCCAGGAAGCTCAAGCCACATCAATACTAAAAAGTAGATTTGTTTTCACCTCTTACTCTCGCTGCTTCTACCAGTTCTCTTAAGTGTTGTCAGTCAAAGGCTAAGTAATTTCTAAAATTTCACTGCCCTGAAATAACTTTGTTTTTCGGTCAGCAACGAAAGATTTTTTACACTGGTTCTTTGTCAGTTTAATATTACTAAACCATCTGAACTTTTTTCTTTTTCATTACCTTACATTAAAATTGATACATAATTATTTGCTAAAACTGGTATCTAGCGTCTGTTTCACTGAATTATACCTCCAATTTGTTTGGAACAGCAAGATAGTAGTAAGAGAGGAATCAGATAGTGAAGTACCAACTTTTATGTATGTTCGAATACAGGTGAAAGTTCAGGATAGATGTTTCCAATATTGAACAGAATTATATACAATATTAACTTTTTCTACCGGTAAGGTCTAAAAAACAAATCTTAAAAAGAAATAAAAGATGTTAAGTCAGTAGAAGCAGTTAAGATGTTTAATGGAATTGGTTATTTTTTAGGTCTTTTGCTTGTTATGACCCCTCTCCACCCCCCCACCCAAAAAAAAAAAAAGAGTTGTTGTTTGTAAAAAAATTGATTATTAATTCTGATTATGGATAACTTCCTATGCAGTTTCACTAGTGGGACAGTCTGCACCTCCTGAAGTTATGCAGAAGCTAACATATCTCGTTATAAGGCACCCTCAAATTAAACGTGTTGACACTGTCCGTGCATACACATTTGGCGTTCTATATTTTGTGGAGGTTTGTTGTATTATACAAAATAAACTTAAAAAATAGAAGCATTAACTACAAGACTAACCCTGTTCTCCATAAAAAATATTTTTATTATTGTCCATTAGTAATGACAAATACTTATGCCTCATCATTTGGGTTTGATTTGGAACAGGTTGACATCGAACTGCCAGAAGATTTACCCTTAAAAGAAGCGCATACCATTGGAGAGAGCCTACAGATAAATCTTGAGAAACTTCCAGAAGTTGAGCGTGCTTTTGTTCATCTAGACTTTGAATGTGATCACAAACCAGAGCACTCAGTTCTCAGCAAGTTGCCCAACTTAGGGGATTGAGCCTGAATTTCTTCATGAAAAGTAAAACTGTAACAGAGCAGGATCCATCTGTTGGCTTATTGTGAAAACCTGAATCTCTTACATATCGGTAAAAGCTGATGCGGCAACCATGCTGTTGGCACACTTCCAATCATTTTTAAACCAAGCAAATTTCCTTAAGTTCCATCGGCAAGTTACAAACTTTTCAAGGTCATTCAAAGTTCGTTAGTTATATAGTTCATTTTGAAATAAAATAAAGCCTTGATGAATAACCTGTAATATCATGGACAAGATGGATATGGTAACTAGGTAGCAGAGAGGGCAATGATGAATTGAAAGCCGGGAGATTATATAAGGGGCAAATGATAATTTAATTTGGCTTTAGTCAAGAAATGATGCATTTTAGTTTTAGTTCGTTTATTAATTAAAGTATCAAGTTAATGATCCATTCTCGTTCATTTCATTTCAACTCGTATTACTAACTGGTGAACTCTAAACTGTTGCCTATATTCTTCTCCAGTAATTATTTATTTTCATTAAATTGTTATTATTTATTTATAAAAGTTATACAAACGGAAATAAAAAATAAAAAATATCGTGAAATCCCTTGTATATGATGCTCTACCAACTTTATAGGAAGGGCGAAGGCCCAAACAAAACACAAAGGGGTGAGGAGCCCCGTATAATATGTAGACCTTTTTTATTGGAACAGGCGCATGCAGTTTTTATTACATTTGAGAACCCCAAGGGTATAAATTAGCTTATTAGCTATAGTTAAGAAACAATGTACACACAATGAAAAAGCACATTTATTTCTATATTGTTCCAACACCGACAGAATAATTAAACTGAAGATACATCAAATTTGCATCTTTCATGCCCCAGGACATCTTGGAAGGCAGTAAGATACATAATTCAGAGATCTACTAACAAGATGCAGAGCGAAACACAGTTTTATAGATACATTCACACTGTAATCGATAGGAACATCCATTCACAAGGCGAAAAGAAAAATCATATATTCAATGAAATTCCCCTGCTAAATGGCCTAAGCAGTAGCTCGCAAGAAAGCTCTTCCAGGCTGACGATTGGCCAAAGGGCCATGGCACCCAAGAACCTGAAAAGGACACACAAAAATTTAGTACTGATCCATCCAAAATATAGTCTAAAACTCCAAACTCCCTCACTAGATAAGTAACCAATCGATTCAACAAACCATGAATTCCATTGCTGAAATTCTTTCCAAAACCATATATGAATATTATTATACCATAGTAAAGACAAACCTTGGCATTGACACCATCCGGCACAATTCTGTTCTCAGACTTCAACTTCAAATAGTCAGTTCGGTTGAACTTAGTAAATCCCCTAAAAATTGGAAGACAACTATTAAGTCAGTACTACTAAATAAAAGGGGTTTAAAAAAAAAAAAACTATACACAGGACAAGAAGAAAATCAACAACTGCATAAGATAACACATAAGTCTCCAAAAAAACATCTTATGTGTTATCCCAAACTGGCATTTTAACTCATTTTTTTATCAAAGATGACTTTATTTCTTTGTCTTCTACTTTTTTAATAATTATTCTTCAATATTAAATTCACAACTATATGGGAGGGTTATTATAAAAAGTCCACTTCAATCAAACCCATATAGAAGGTGTATTTATGCTTAAATTTAATAAACAAAAATCATAATGGTCCTGACCATTCTCCAAAGCATGCGAATAATGAGAGCTTTATAGAATTGGACTCAAACTGATTGATTATTTAACCAATCTATTTTTCTCTCTTCTTAATTTATATATCAATCTAATTTGATCAAACGCGAGTCCTTGGTAACTCATTTACTTGAATAAGTGTGGATTAAACTTTAGTCAAACACAAGCAGAGTGATATATAATTTGAAAAAAATGAACAAATTCATATATAGTTTGGAAAAATGAACAAAGTGATAAATGGATTTAAAAAAGGAACAAAATACAACCAACCATATAAATAACCTTGCTCACTTTAAAAAAACAAGCTTCTCTTACCCATCAATTATATATCACCATTTATGTAAAATGTTAGATCAAAGATACCAAATTGCAAATGAATAACTGAGAATAAAAAAAAAAAAAAAACACTAACCACTTTCTGCTGACAATAATCTTCTGGCGACCAGGGAACTTAAATTTGGCACGGCGAAGAGCCTCGTGAGCATGGTGGCTATTAGTATCCTTACAACGAACAGAAAGAAGAACCTGACCAATATTAACCCTCGCACAAGTCCCTTGCGGTTTCCCAAACGCACCCCTCATCCCAGTTTGAAGCCTATCAGCTCCAGCACACGAAAGCATCTTATTTATCCTAAGAACATGAAAAGGGTGAACCCTAACTCTCAAATGAAACGCGTCTTTCCCTGCAAACTTCGCCATGTACTTGTTGCACGCTATCCTTGCTGCTTCCAAAGCTTCGCTCGAAACGTTCTCTTTCTCCCATGACACCAAGTGCACGCAGAATGGGAACTCGTCAACACCTTTCTTCTTCATCCCCACATCGTATATTCGGATCTTCGGGTCGGGTACGCCCCTACAGAACCGTGACTTCGGGTATGGTTTGTTCTTTATCTGACGGTAACACCTCGCTGGTCCTGTGTCACCCAACAACAACAACATTGTTTAAAACAAATTATAACCGCAGTTATGAAAATTCTATGTTCTAATTTTTTTTAGTTTTGAATGAAAGATGAGATTTTGCTTACTCCTTCCCATGGTTGTGTCTCTGATGCGATTCAACTAAGAAAATATGATAAAAACCTTAGAAAATGAAGAGGATAGTGTTTCCTTTTTATACCTTTCGCTCACGCGGTTTGTGTTGTGCGTTTAACGCAAGTGCGTGCGTCATTTTTTTTCATTAAGTGGGCCCGCCGCCGGCGCAGACTTTTTGTATATCTTGGCCCATTATCGGCCCAGAATGTTCGAGAAGGTGTTAGCTTGTTGGACCCGTTTCTTTGAGGCCTGCTAACACCACCGACACCACTAACTCTTATATTAAATCATTTTCAAAAGATATATATTTTTCATGTTGCATGAAATAAATTATCTCATGCAAGACACACAAAAATGAGTAGAATTTACTTTTTTCTTTCTCTCTCTTCTTTTTACTGAGTCTCACTCACTCTTTTGTATGTTGCATGAGACAATTTGTTTGTCTCATGCAATATGAGAAAAATATTTTCCTTTCCAAAATCATGATATGAAGAGTGTGTAATGAAAATCGATTCTCTCGTATATTATTTAATATAATCATGTTGTATAAAAGAATCTTAATTGCTTATATATAAATTAATAATTATTCTTTTTATTTTCTATCTAAAATTCTTTTTTTCTTTCACCTCTTATCATCTTGGTTTATTCATTAAAAAATTAAAAAAAAAATTCACATGATTTGTGCATTATAACTCACGCGAGAGGATCCATTTTTGTGCTTAAGGATAATAGTGAGAATGTCTTTAGAGTATCAATCTTTTAGTATATATTTTAAAAATATTTTTTTTATTTTATTGAGATTAAAAAGGTTTATATAATTAGTTCATTATTCTTGTATTATTTGTTTAAAAACAAGTTGTAACTTTAATTAGTAATTTGATAAGTAAAAAATCATGATTTAAACAAATATGTAGTATGACTGAATCAGAAAATAAACAAACAAACTAGAATAACCTAGATAAAAAAATCAAGAAGAAAATTAATGGTGTATATAAGTAGGGGTTTATTTATGTCATTCTGTCTGCAGGAAATATTCATAACTTTCTGGATAGACAGAATTCAATGGGCTCTACTATAAAAATAAAAAAATAAAAAAAGAATGTTGGCACACTTTTCGAAGGGCAAGTAGGAAATATATTTCCCATATAAGTAATTAATTATGCATATAAAAAAGTTATATTCCTTTGTTAATTACATCACTAATTTATAATCGTCGTGTCACGGGTTAACTCACATGTCAACTAGCAAATTATTTTTTGTCAAAAAAATGAATTTATTTTGAAATTTTAGTGATTTTGACATACTTCATTGCAGGTCACAGGTCAATTTGTATATTTTATATAATTTTTCTCTTTTATTTTGACTTTTTTAGAAGAAGAAAAATCAAATTTTCAATTTTTGATGGTCAACCCGTGTAACCCGCAACAAGTCATATCCGGGTTCAATTTTAGACACAAACAAAAATAATTCATGTTTGGGTTGGATAATTTGACCCGTGGGTCAGTGTTGACACGATACGAACCCAATCCTCTAACATGTTTTTCCACCCCAAACACGACACAAATAAAAAAATGGATTAAAATTTTTTACACAAACACAACACTTTTATTTTGCGGGTTGACACAACACAATCTGACATGAATACCCCAACCTCAAAATGTATCTCTTATAATACGAATTGACACGATACAATAAGATATAAATAACATATATACCTGAATGTTATTTTGACCAATGTCATGTTGACCAACATGAAACAACACGAATAATCAGCAAAATAAAAAAATGCACGTCAATTTCGTGTTTATGTATTGACACATAATGCAACATGAATTTTGTCATGTTATTTTTATTTAAACACAAACATGTATGAATTTAAAAACGACTTGATCTGAACACCAATTTCTTTTTACCGTGTAAGTGAGTCGTATTAAAAATTATGATCCCTAAATAATCGTACACATTCACGAGTACCGAAGGGACTTTATCGAATCAATGTTCCCGAAAAGCAAAAGATATTATTACAATCACATGGTTGTCGGTTTGGTATTAAATTCTTCTCATTTATTGAACATGCAACTGAAAGTTGTCAGAAAATTGACAGCAACCATGACAAAGTGTGAGGAAAGGAATTGGACATATGTCAAATTTTAGGTTGTAGTCGAAGTGCTAATTTATTCACAAGCTTTTGGGGATACAAAATATGCTTGATCTCAAATCACAAGTCTACTTCCACCGTTATGTTAATCTCGTGTTTAATAAGCCTAAGCATATCTTAATCCAAAACCAGAAAAAAAAAAAAAAACTATCCTTAGATGTAACAATAACTACATTGATTGCGTCCCAAGTTTACTTCTACAATGATGTCATTAGCAAGAAAAATTATATTTTTAGTGTTTATTTAGCTGAAAGATGATAGATGAGAAATGAGGATAAAAAAAGATTGAAGAAAATATTCTTTGTTTGGAGATTTTTGAACTTATTTCTTCAAACATAGTTAAGGAATTTACTAGTACTTAAAAATTGCATTACATAATAAACTCGTCTGCTTAAATGGTGTCCAAAATCGATATGTTATATATAACATCCATTGCTCTACCAGTTTAACAGATTGTACAAAGAAGAGAATGTGAAGGGTGAAGATGAAATGTAGTAATGTATAGGCTCATTATGCAATTCACAAAGTAATGACCATAATTGCTAAAGCCAAATCTATCTTGGTTTGATGCTTGGTATTACTCCACTAACAAGGTCACTACCTGACACATCTCCTGATACAAAAGGAGTCTTTATAGCAGAGGATGAAGATGGAGTACTGGCCATTTTTCCAGAATCACTGGTTATAGATTCAGCTCTCTTGGTATCTGAATCCGGCATCATAGACCATATGTTTTCAAGCTCTCTAACCACTTCTGACATTTTAGGCCGCGCATCTGGCTCGTCGTTGCAACACTTAAGGGCCAAAGTCAAAAATCTCTCCACAATTTCAGATGGATAAGACCCCATGCGTCCATCAATAACTGAAAATATCACCCCGGATTGGTATGCAACATTAACCTGAAAAAGATGGAGAAAAGCATCAACTTCAAGCACTCTATTATTTTCATGTTTGATTTGATTCAACCTATGTTTATGTCAAATACTTAGTTCTGTCTACTACCCCAAAACCTTAGAAGAATGGTTGGACATTACAACTGCATCAACTTATTTCAAATCAAATTTGAAAAAGTGAGAGTTGATGAAATGGATCTCCACAATCCTGTGGAGGGAAGGGGGTCTCTCTCTCTCTTTCTACTAAGGTGACATGATTCAATTACAAAGGTGACAGTGACACTCATGATTTGTATGAAGACAAAGTAATAAAATGATGCAGCGGAAAAAGAAAAGGAAAATGTTTGTTTTTATTAAGATTCAGTCCAACAAATGTACAAAACAAATTACAGAAATTAAATTTTTCAACTGTTAATCCTAGTTTGATCCAATCACACTTGTTAGGCAATAGGGAGAGAAATGAAGACCAGAAGTATGCAAATACCTCTCTAACAATATTTTTGCCATGGGAGATAGGTTGCATCCCAGTCAAAAGTTCCAGAAATACAACACCAAGACTATAAACATCACTCTTGTCGGTCAACTTGTGAGTTAAGAAGTATTCTGGATCAAGGTAACCCTGCATATTTAAAACATTGAAAAAATAATAAAGATGAAAATTCATTGAATAAATAAAATCAACCTTCCAACCCAAACACTTCCAATTGGTCACACTAAATTACAGGGGGCGGGGGAGGAGTTGGTTTATAAACTAACCCTATGATTTGAAAAATAGGATTGCTAATTTTGTATTCAATATACACATGCACAATTTTAGCAAAACCAAATCCAATCATGAAAGCCTTACCGGGGTCCCTTTTACCACAGTAGATACGTGACCAGGCACGATTCCTTCAATATCTGGAACTGGAGCAAGCCGCGAGAGTCCAAAATCAGCCACTTTTGCAGATAACTTTGGATCCAACAATATGTTGCTGGCCTTGACATCTCGGTGAAATATTGGAGGATCAGCTTCTGTGTGTAGATACATTAGACCTTTAGCTGACCCTAGCGCAATCTTCACTCTCATGGCAAAAGTCAGAGCTTCTTTTGATGTAACTGTAGTAAAACATTAAACACACACTCAAGAGACAACAGAGAAAGGCATTTGGGCATAAAACTGTCAAACAAATTATCCAAATATCATTGTGCTTCAAATTGGAGCCCGATAGAGCAAGGGAAATTTATACAGCATCTGCTGTTACTAAGTCATCGGTAAAATGCAATGGAAACCAAAATGTTAAGAACATAAGACGTACTGGATAGGTGATCCCTTAGTGTGCCATTCGACATAAATTCATAAACCAGCATCTGCAAAATTAAAGCAACAATCCAAATGGAAGAAATTCAATGGTCAGAGAAAAGAAAACACCAAAATATTTTTAAACGACAACAAGAAAAAGAGCAAGGACTTGGATTACCCAACCTCCCTAGGTTATAAGCTTAAGAAAGTTTTTATCAACATCTTAATTTTAGTAGGAATTATATCCTCCTGGATTTAACACGTGATAGCAACCCCAATGGGATTTGCGGATATTAACACTTCCAAAAATGACACTCAGAATCCAAGATAATCATAAAATTTACTAAAATAAAATCCAGCAAGTGTTGAAGTTTCTGAATTTTGAAACAAAAAGTACCTGTTCACCTTCTTCATCACAGTATCCGAGGAGAGACACAAGGTTGCGATGATGTAACCTTGATAGTAACGATATTTCTGTAAGGAACTCCTTCTCACCTTGCAGTGATCCTTCCTGTGCACGTTTTATAGCAACAACTGTGCCATCAGTAAGAATACCTTTATAAACCTTTCCATAGCCTCCTTGTCCAACTTGAGCAGAGCTGCTAAAATTGTTTGTAGCGGAGGACATTTCTCCGTAAGTAAAGGCCTTTACACCATCAATTTTTATTGAGATCTTAGACACTGTTAATAATACAAGTCCTTTGTTAATAGATTTCTTAATAAATAACTATCAGATATAGTTTGCAGTAGTAAATTCATAGTAATTCCAATATTGCAAGTTCAAAACTGGAAGAAAAATTGGATCTAATTTCACGCAGGAGATCTTAAAGTTATGTTATAAAAACCTTAGAAAAAAATAGTAATTTACTATTAAGTGTAAACTATATCTACAGAGCTTATAGATGAGTATCTTAACTGCAGTTAAATTATTTTACATTTTGACAACATTAAAAACACGCAGAGGCAACACACTGGCATTTGCATCTTCTTACTCGTAAAATATCAAGTTTATGAACTAGGCTCAGGTAAAGGTTCATAAGTCACGATGGGAAGAAGATGGGGAAAAAAAGGATTTGTAACAACTTGCAACCCCCTAAATTTGTCAGATATGTTACGACTGAGCTCCCCCAACTAGTTTGGGATAAAGATGTTATTGATGTAGACATTATGACTGAGCTGCTCAAATACATAACTATCAGTAATGTTATGGAAATCAACCAGCAACATCAATTAAATAGTGCACTTGAAATGCTTAAAGGAAGATAAAAAGAACATGAATGTTAAGTATGATTTCAAATTATGGGAATTCTAATGACATTCCCTTGAGCTAAACCTCTGCTTGATTCTCCAAATGATTTTTCAACCTTGACTGGATACAATGTAACATTTCATTCCACGATTATGGGATAGAGCTATCATTGGGGTTCTATTCATAGCAGTTCCAGAGGGAATTGCTATTTGTCTTTTCATGTTCCTTTTATGTGTAGAATTCAGTTTTTAATGATATCTTGTTCTCCTCCATTCTTCCTAGTTGTACTTTCCCTCTTTTATCTCTAATAAATATTTCCCTTAATATAAAAAATCAACGGGGGGAATTCTAATAAGAACTTTGAGGTGCACCACCCCAAAAACTAGCTCAAAGGGTGGAAATGTCCGAGGCTTTATAAACCCCACATTAGTTTCCCATACAACCAATGTGGGACTCCAAGTCCCATACCTTGCAAATGGGTCCTAACATTTCACCACGCTCCGCAGCCCCGGCACCCACGCGGGCTGGCTTTACGCTAGTTTTTTACTAGCCCTGGGCAAACACTGCAATGCCAGCGTCACCACCCGCGCCGCACGATTTCAACTGGGAGACATAGTGGAAAGCTCTGATACCATTTGATAAGAACCTTGAGGTGCACCACCCCAAATGATAGCTCAAAAAATAAGAGTGCCCAAGGCCTTATAAACCCCACATCAGTTGCCCATACAACCAATGTGGGACACCAAATCTCATACCTTGCAAATGGGTCCTAACAAATTCAAAGGGACATAAATCAATGAATGCAATAATAGGCTTCTGTGAAGATAAACATGGATCTTACAATTCTTTCAAGAAATCAATTTAATATGGCAACAAGAGTCGCAAAGGTTTACGAAAACAGTTATCCTACTTTGAATGAGAATAAGGGACAATTAAATTACAAATATGATTCAGTTAAAAATATAATAGCACACAATAACATCAAGACTTCCCATTGTGATTGAGGCAGAGCACTTGAGACAAGTGAAAGAGCAAAATAACATTACACTTGCTGATTCATGATAAGGAACTCACCGTGACGTCTTTTGGAAAGAGCGCGATGATCTCTCAATTGTGTTCTCAATATAAGAAGAGTAACAATTGCAGATAACGTCACTGCACAGGCAACTGACCCTAAGATTATGCCAACCAGTGCGCCAGTACTTATCCCTGATTTGGAAGAGGTGCCAGCGACTGCAACAATAATGAGAAGTATGAGCATAATCATATGACAGTTTGCAAATATGATATTGAGCATATTGATGAGTACAGTACATATTGCGCGGAAGCTTATTCATTGATGAGCTCTAGCGACATTAACTTTCCAATACTAACTAGCACTATTTAAAGTTGCATTTAACTTGACTGCAACACTTACAATATACTCTTGATCAGAACACTGCATCTGAATCATGCAATTCTCTCTGTTTGTCACAGTACGATTGTTTCATTTTTTATTTAGCATTTCCGTAAACATTAGGATGAGCAAATCAGAATATTTATTGAGGAATAATCAAACAGATGACAACTCATCCAGAATATGACTAATAGACATATGTTGAATAGTTGACCTTTACTGAAGCTTCAGAACAGTTATGCACCAATTAGCAAGAGAGGTAAAGTAAAAGTTTTTATCATTTTTGCAAACTTTAACATGTGAAGCTTGCATATGGAGTGAAAGCTAATTTGTTTACAGGAAGATGGAAAACCATTAGCTCAACATGTGCAGAAAATATTATATGATCAACTAAATCAATAGAAATTAGACAAGAAATTCATGTCGTTCATCCAGCTAAAGAAAATGTTATCGCAATTTTATTGTTAATAGTTATGGCATTAAATCCAAATTCCACCAAGCACTCTGGCAGATCACAAGAAGTTTCTGAGACTTACATTCTGCATACGGACCCACAAGAGTGAGGTTAATCAGTTCATAAGGCCCAAACAAATCATCGTCTGGAATGTTCCATCCAGTGAACATGCTTCTGATCCTTTGGACCTCACTTCCATTGAACGTATGAGCACTACTGTTATCGACATATATAGGAAAAAGCTTCAAGTCCATTCTTAGTCGAGGTCCCTCTTGCCAATAAAAAGTAAATTGTAGCTGACTGGTATATATTTGAAGACCAGAAGTCAAGTAGTTCTGAAATCTATCCACGTATGGACCAAATTCTTTAAATCCCGGACTTTTCAGCCGATAACCAACCAGCAATGGTACCGCACAGAAACAATCCACAGAGTATTCATAAGGAGGTGGGCATGCTTGTGGTGGACAGGAACCAATGAAGTTTGTTTGAAATAAGTCATTTGTGTCATTAGCACCTTCAGATCCACATAACTGAACCAGGGATTTATTTGAGCATACAGGATTCCCATGAAGCCTGAAATACAGTAATTTTCAATAATAACGAGGGAAGCTATTTAAAATTGATGGAATATATGCTAAATCTAATGTTAAATTATTGAATTTCAGCTAAACGACACTGATATTTCGAACGTGCATAACAAGGAGAAAAAAATATGGAAATCTCTATCCACTACAATGATTTCAGTACAAACTGCACAATAAATTTTGAACCGTACAAGACTGTGACATTGGGAGGAAGATTAGTACTGCCTGATATGTTTGTAAGTTTATTATTTTCCAGCTCCCTGCAAGATCAGAAAACCATGCTCAGCAAATCAAAAGTGAAAAACTCAGTACTCAGCAGCAACTACGCAGAGGGAAATACAAATGAATCAATGATATTAGCATAGAAAAACACCCAATATATGCCACAAAGAATAAAAATGCACACATCTGCATGTCTACACATACTATCAGCTAATCCGAACCCCCCCCCCCCCCCCTCCGCGCACGTGCCTGTTTCTTTCATAGACTAAAAAGAACACATACACACGCTCCCAAATACACATCTAGTAAGGATAGCAAATTGTGGAACTCATCACTTCAGGTCTTACAAGAGAAATTTTTCTGTTCCATTTAAAGTCTTGTTCTGCCAAATGATGGAAGGAACACTGCCATTCAATGAATTGTTTGAAAGTAACCTGCCACATAGAATGGTATCAGTAAAAAGTCATTTATTTTATAGCATGTTTGACTAGAAAAAAAAAAAAATCTAACTAGTTACTGCAAAATTCAATATATGATGTGTGAGTGAGATAAGGTGATAGATAGTAACTCTCTTTGGCCTATAGTAAATACTACATTTTGATCTAGAAGAAGAATTGATAAAACAGAAAACAACTTACAATCTCTGAAGACGTGGAAGACCAGAAAAGTAGGACGGAATAGGTCCAGTAAGCTTGTTGTTTGATAAATCACTGCACATATCCCCAGAGGTCAAAACCTAAAAGTATATCAATAGATGAAACTATTTGAATGATAAGATTCTTACATGGTTGTGATATTTTCAGAAAGCTTATTGCGAGGAATCGATCCATTCAACTGATTGGAACTCAGGTCACTGGAATTTACACAAATAATAGTCAGTAAATGCAGTTACAGATTGCATTAGACTTTCTTTTAAACATGTGCATCAGAATCTTCACTTTGTCAGAAACAGTAACTTCTCTTAATACAGATAACCAAACTTACAGATAATAAAGGTATGGTATCTTGCTTAAATCGGGAATTGGTCCTTGCAAGCTGCAATTCCTAAGGCTCCTGATAATATCAAGCAACCAATAATAACATTTATATGGTCAACCTTGACATCAAACCTTCCTCTTGAACAAACTAAAATGTTTTATTGTGACAAGAAATTTTATTAAGCAGAGGAAAGGAGAAAGTACAAAGAGTGGCGAGGTGCCATCCTTTAAATAAAGACAAAAGAGAGTGGAGCAAAGTTAAAGACTATATCAAAACAATAAGTACATTACAAAATGCAATAGTAACAGAGCATCATTGCTAATGAATGTTATACGATGCTCATTTCAAGAGGTATTAAAATTAAAATAAAGATACGGGATCACAAAGTTCACTTACATCTTCAACAATTTTGACATGTTGCTATAAGTATCTGGAATGCTATTTCCGCCAAAGTTATTGTTATCAAGTTGTCTGCAAGAACAAGAAGATCCAAAAAAACACTTTAAAATCTAATTATGCAACATGGAATACTTATTAAAACAGTCAACAATTTAAAGGAAGTAAACATAAAAAAAAAAAAAAGGATTAGAAAGTTCTACGATGACAAAAATAGCAAATTTTCAGTATTCATTCATGTGTAAAAAGTATGATAGATGACACCGCTGGCATTGGCAAAGCACTCACTCCTTTGTTTTCCATCACTTTCCAAGCAATTTCATTTAGAGCAACCAAATATTGATCAGGAATTAAACCATCAAATGGCATTGCAAGCAAACCATGGCTTTGCAGCTATTCCAATACAGAACTAAGATTGAAGCACAATTATGCTGTGTTGAACACCTGATTCTCTATTATGGCAAATGGGATGCATCAACATGACATATTCTGTCTCCTACTTGAGCAAACTAGACATTTATAGGTTTTTAGTCATTTTACTAATATTTTTCCAATTTCCCTTCATCAAATTTTCTTCCTTTTATAAATCACCAGAGCATATCTCATGAATCATACATTATCAATGCTTCTCTTTATTTAACAATTCTCTAGAGCAGAAGCACACTTCAGTGAGCCTATCACTGGCTATCTGCATGTTTGGATCACATTTTGGTGAACAAAAAGGGGAAAAAACACTCCACAATCCTTTTTTAGAGGAAGAAAATACATTGTGCTGTGGTCAAATGTCCAATTGCAACATCCGAGAATCTAAAACAAACAAACCATATACTGTTAACAGATGTTATGGGTACATCAATAACACAAATTTGTCATTTTCTTCTTGGTTCATTTGTTAAAATTTTCCATGGCAAAGCATAGCTGAAGCATAAATTAAAAGAATAATACTCATTAGTTCTAACGTACCCTATTTTGGAAGCACGAGTTATAAGTGATGACCAGTTTATAGAGTCTAATCAAGATGACTAATTAATATTTTAATAACATATAAAAGAATGAAATAATCCCAAAACATAAGGAAAAAGGAAAGGGAGGGGGGGAGAGCAACAATTATTATACTTACATATATTTTAGAGATAATCCAAATCATAGATGTTACAAGATGCAAAATGCCATCAGCTTCATAAAGAATATGTGCTTTTTTTCATTCAAAATAAAAAATAAAACTATATGTGCTTACACACACACACAATTATCACACGAAGAATAAGAAACCATACAGTATAAGTAAGCTTGGCAAGTTGGATAGCTCGGGTGGAAGATATCCTGATAAGTTGTTGTTGTCAAGAAGGCTGCAGGTTCAGAGATACATATTGTGAATAAGACAAAGGCGTGATAATTAAGGATTAAATAAAACCCAGAAAAATATGTTATTGGCTGCAATTATGTCAACGATATCCAATCACCAACTTACAGATGAACAAGGCTTGGTAATCGGGAGAGCTCCGGTGGGATTTGCCCGCTAAGTGAATTATTGTTCATGTGACTGCTCCATCGAGGGAAAAAATGAAAAATTATTTTCTTTCCACTTTCTTGGTAATAATAACAAAGATTGAGAAACAAAAGAGTTCAAGTAAAAATTGCAAAAGTGGCAGTAATTTATAAGCTACATTTTCATCATAAAGAACCTTACAAGTGCTTTGTCAAGTTCAGGTTTGCAAATGATGGTGGTATAGGTCCTGATATATGGTTCTGGTCGATTTGTATTCTATTTAGGACCGGAAGATAGCCAAGCTCCTCTGGCAGCGAACCTGTTAATTGATTTCCATTCAGGAGCCTACAAAATGTATATAAATATATCAAATGAGAAGAAAGCACAAATGATAAAGCTCTTCATGTTAAAACACCACTCCTTTGTTTATATAACCATTTGAATTTATTTTCTCATCCTATAGTAACCAGTATTTAAATTCAATTTATTTAGAAGATACAATTCTGAATTCATGCAATGAAAATGATGTCTATGTACTAATATGTCTAAAATGAGTCAGAATTTACCAAGGTTATAAAACAACTGACTTATTTAATCATACAGCGACTAACATACACGCCAAAAGGGAAGGCTGAACTTACAAGAGTTGCAAAGATTTGATATTGCCAATTTCCTTTGGAATACTCCCAGTTATGTTGTTCCACATAAAGTCCCTTTAGAAAACAAAGCAAAGCATGTATCAGATGAAGAAGGTAATTAAAAGCTGCAAAAAAGTGGAAAGTGGAAACAGTCAATTGAGTCAAATCTTGTTAGAGAATAATATAAACCATCAAAATGGCCCTCACCCAACACCTTAAGGTTTTTGGTTAAATTGGTTCTTTACATGGTATCAGAGCTTCAGTGACCACAAGGTCACGAGTTCGATTCTCACCTCCCCCCACTTTCTAGTGGAATTAAATAAGCACAAGGTAAACCAAAAATTGAGCCTGTGCAATATTCATGCTTCAAGCCCAATGGGTTTTTGCGTGAGGGGGTGTGTTAGAGAATAATATAAACCTTTAAAAAAGCCATCACCCAACACCCTAAAGTTTTGGGTTGAATTGGTTCTTTACAAATCTACTACACAATCAGAAATGGCATCTAGGCATTGCGAAATTGAAATCGCTGACCATATTTGTCAGTTTAAACATCAGTGTGGATTCAGACTTACAATATTTCCATATAAGATAAGTTGCCAATATCTGGTGCCAAAGTTCCATACAAGTTCAAATTCAGTAGTTGCCTACACAAACAAGAAAAACAAACTTAATAAAGGAGTAGTATCGATGCTAGAAATAAAATGCAATTGATGACTAAGATTGATAGCTTGTCAAACAGAGATTATTCTTCAAGACATGTAAACTCATCAAAATACATTGAAAAGATTATCATAGAGAGTTGTGCCCTTATGGCCCACAAATCCCATCCCGTTTAGTTGATTATACTATTTTCTATTATACGACAAACAATTGACAAGAAAGTATTTGGCCCACAACAATAAATGTGAATCTATTAGCACCTTAATTGACAAGAGAGAGAAATAAATTAAAGAGAGACAAAGGAAATGGAAGCTTGTAAATGTTAATGTCTTTAATGAAACTGAAATGTCGAGTAGAAGATAGAAGTCGTACAATTCTCGAACATGTAGATAGCCATCCGCTTTCGTTTCATTGAAGCATAAAACTCCAGTCCAATTAGATGTACATGGGTCTCCGCTATTCCAATTGCTCAAATTTCCATTAGGATCAATCAAACTTTCCTTTATGGCTTGCAATGCTTTAACTGCATGTAAATTCAAATGAAATCATCATATCATCAAAAGGGCAAAGGGAAAACTCTAGTGCACAGAAGCTCCTCGACTATGCGAGGGTTGATAGTACTAGCACTATCCTTATATTTTTGCAAAGAGACTATTTCTTATATTGAACTCGTGACCTTCCGGTCACAAAGGACCAACCTTACCATTAGCTCCCAAGCTTGCCCTTATCTTATAATCAATAGAACCAAAAAAAACTAAAACAATAAATAAATATACATTATAAGCAATGCTTTAGCTAGTACCCATTTTTTTGCAGTAACGAGTCTTCTGTTCTCAAGGCTTGTAGAATCTGGATATTATTATTGTAAGGGGCATATGAATATCATATTTGCATATTTTGTAGTAATTTTACCTGTGATCTTTTACATGATAATTACACACATAAACAAATTAATATGCTGGAAATATTCATTTTGTAATATATGCCATGATATATTACAGAAAATACTCCCCAAGAGCATAGCTACCACTTCCAGAAACGCTTGTCTGCTATCGGCAAAGAGAAGCTATTATGAACCAAGTGTTCCAAAAGCTTAATCTATTAGATTAAAGCACATTGGATAATGCACAGGCCCTAACACGCAAGAGCTTTTTGGGCTTTAACTGTAGATAATGCAAAGGCTCACCTATCATTTGCTAAAATTTAACTTCTTCTTTTTTATTACTTAGAAGAACGGGAGTGGCAAGAATCAAACTCTAAACCAATTACTTATAAAGGCTCTAATATCATGTCGACTCAACCAACTATCTCAAAAACTTAACATTTACATAAATGGTTTTTGATATTAAGTACATCCTTAATAGAAACAAAGCAACCATGGAATATCAAAAAAGGAGAAAAAAAACATACCTTCAGTGTCGCTAGTGATATTACCCTGCGCAGCAGCCAGTAGCAAATAGTAGCAGAACCACAAGATGAAAACAACTCCATGCTTATAACCCTTTGAAAGATACATCCCAGGAACTTAGAAATCACCAAAACTCTTAAATATCTTTCATGAACTAAGCAGCTTACTTTTCTCTCCCTGATAACAACAAATCAATTAAGAAACATCCATTGATGTAAATCCAAAAACAACCCCATGTATGCATCAAAGCTCAAAATCCCAGCACCAGCAGCAACAACCAAAACTTCAGAGGAAAACCCCCCATTTTTAAAAAGGAACCCCATGTATGCATCAAAGTACAGAAGCTCAGCAATCATCAAACTAAACAAGAATACCTTAGACAACAGAAGCAAACTTGAAGCCAAATAGCAGAAAGACTCAAACTTGGAAGCAAAAATTATGAACAAAGCGAAAACTAACACATGGGTGTTACAACAAAACACATGGGAGTTACAGCAAAAGTACCAAAAGAGTGCAGCATCAACGTGAAAATAAAGAGAGGGTTGTGAAAGCGTGGAGGGTATTGTCTTGTCTTTATGACTAGGTCGCCACAACAAATGCTGCAGAAAATGTAGGTGTCGTTGATGAGGAAAGCCATCGCTTTCAAAACCTGTAGCTTTGAATCAATAGCAATTAAAAAATTCAGAAAAATAGAGCTCTCAAATGGTGTAAGCGATTTTGACTTCCTGAGAAGGAACTAAAATAAGCTTGTAGGATCCAACTACCGCCGGCGAGTCATCTATTATATTCTATAGATACATGTAATAATTAATGGGAAAGGTTATACTTACTACCTATTTTTTTTACTACTTGTTACTACTAAATCTTAACCGTTGATTTCCGTCAATCTAACGGTTATAATTTATGAGATCATACTTATTAATTAATTATTAATTTGTAATAAATTATAACCGTTAGATTCACGGAAATCAATGGTTAAGATTTAATAGTAACAAGTAGTAAGAAAAATAGGTAGTAAATATAACCTCTCCCATAATTAATAAGGGAATAACATTAATATTATATTTGAGGTGTGCACGACAATAATCAATTTTATTTATTTATGTTCCGGAATAGAAATGGATAGAAAACTCGTATCTTAAAATCGGTTTATTTTTTTTATAACCGGTTTTATTTTTGTGCTGAGAACCGAAAAAAGAACCAGAAATGAGAAACACTTATCTCTCTCAATCACTCTCCATTTCTACCATCATCATCACCACCACTGTCATCCTGACACGACCACTACCACCATCGTCGCCGTCGCCGTCGTACCACTAGTGTTGTCGTCACCACCCCACCACGATGCAACCGCCATTATCACCACCACACATTACTACCAACATGCCACCATCACCACCGTCACAACTACCATAGCTGCCGCCACCATCACCACCACCATTATCATTGTCGTAGTCACTACCGCCATCAATCACCACCGCCATCTTCACAGCCATTACCGTCACTACCACCACCATTACACCACCCCCGCCACTACCATCACAACGCCATCGTCACCACTATCACCACCACCACTGTCATCTACCACCACCGCCGCAGCAACTGCCACCACCACCATGATGTCATCACAACCACCACCACCATGTCATCGCTACCATTATCGCGCCACCAACCACATACGCCACCACTATTGTCGCAGCCACTGTCGTCATCTCCACCACCACCATCCCTACCACTGCCGTCACAATGACCACCACTATTGTCACCACCACTACCGAACCGCCGCCGCAACACCACCACCATGCCACCCTCGCCGCCACCACCACAACCACACCATATGGAAAAGAAAGTGATGATTCGAAATTTTGTTATATTTAATAGGAATTATTTTTTATTATATTATTTGTTGTGTTATCGAACACAATTTTCATTCTCGGAATAAAAAATAGAACATATTATCAAACACATTTTTTTTTTCAAAAATTGTTGCAAGGCACAGAAATAGAAAAGAATTGTTTTTTTTTCTGAAACATTGTGCTAGAGAATAGAATGGTTGTCATGCACACCCTTATTCTCCCCGAATTACATAATTACAGGTGATGTCAAGTGGTTGGAGAAATATTTTTTCCATATCATAAACACATTGTAATGCACTCTTGTCTTTCTTTCTAAACTTAAAATACAAAAAGTGATGTAATAATTTTGTATATGAATAATATAATGTTTTTGTTCACAAGGGTTTAGTGTTTTCAAGGAGTGAAATATGTTTTTCATATTATATAAGACATAAATTATTTAATGTAACACATAACAAAAAGGGTATAATGTTTTTCCAGAGATAAAGTTATCCCGTACTTGAAAGATTAAAAAATTATAATGATATAAATTAATAATCACTAAAATAAATTAGAATTATAAAAATACTTTTTATTCAGCCTCAAAATGAGATCATTTTGAGCTAAATAAAAATAAGTTATCTCCATTAACCGGAGATACATTAAACCCTAAAAATAAATATGGGATCCATTTTTTTCTCTTTCTTCTCCTCAGTAAGTTTCATCTATTTTTTATGTGTTGTATGAAATAAATTTATCTCATATAAATATTTTCCTTTCAAAAGAACTAATGTCCCTAGAAACCCATAAATAATATTACTCCTTTGTTTTAAAATTAGGTGTAGCTTCTTTTACCAAAAAATAAATAAAAAATAGGTGTACCTTCATTATTTTTCATTAATATTATTTTTACAGTTTGTTAGAATTAATATGATTTGGTGTGAACCATTTTTACATCAAATTTATTTATTAAGGATGACTCAATTATTGGTTAGCTTAATTTTATAAATTATTTATTCTCTTGAGACGAGCTCAAATAATAGAATTGTAGGATATTTATTGAGAATGTGCGAATTCAAACTTCACGATTACTCCCTTTTTTTTCTTCATTTTCTTTTCCTCTCTCCCATTACGCGAGTTTCTTATGAAAAGTTTTCTCTTGAAAAAAAAAAGTTTATAGATTATTAATAGGTTCAGAAATAAGTTGAGTTAGATTTTGTCTAAATAGGCGTAGGTCGATTTTGCAAAACGTTAGCTTATTTTTGGTTTGTTACCCATTATTAACATTTTGTAAGGTCAAATCTAATTTTTCCCGTAAAAACCTAATGCTTAGTTTTAGAGGAAATTGAAAGTAAAGTTAACTATACCTTGATTAAAATGTCAGACAAATCAAATCTTAAAGTGGTCGTTTTGAAGATAATTTTATAACAAATGATGGTAGTTTAGTTGGTGCCAGGGAACTAAACAGGTGGGGGTGAGGGCATGTATTCGATCTTCCTCGGTATCTTCTTTGGAAAGGGTTTAAAACCTTAATCTTGGGACTCGCCCTGAATTGAACTAGTCGTAAATCGATAAACCAATTAGAATATTTATAAATAAATAAAAAGATAATTTTATTTAATCATCCCTCACCTCTTGAGTTTTATGAGCAATTATCTACATGCAAAATATGACTTTAATGTTTCTATAGTAAATGTAGATAAGTTATCTACATTCACTCTCAAAATAATGTCGCTTTGGGTTGAAAAATTAGAAAATTATAATGAAAAAAATCTATTATAACCCTGAAATAAATTATAATTACAAAAATACCTTGATTTCCTTCTCAAGACGACGTCGTTTTGGGCTCAATGTAAATAAGTTATCTACATTGATTGTAGAATATATATATATATATATATATATATATATATATATATATATATATATATATAGCTTTAATGTTTATACAGTGAATGTAGATAAGTTATATACATTAGCTTCCAAAACGTCGTCGTTTTAGGTTAAAAAGTTATAATAAAAAGACTATTATAACTCTTAAATAAATTATAATTACAAAAATACTTTGATTTTTGCCTCAAAACGTCGTCGTTTCGGGTTCAATATAAATAAATTGTCTATATTGACTGTAGAAAAAGAGTACTTATATATATATATATATATATATATGAAAGCCTTTAGAGAGACTTAAAAAAGTCGATTTTTTTATTTTTGAAAATTAGAATAACATATAATAAAATTAGCATAATAATATATATTAATTTATATTTAATAAATTATAAATTTTTTATTATATATCTAGATAATACCTAAATAAATTAGTCTAAAAGGTTAAATAAGATTTTTTTTAAAAAAATCTTAAGACTCAATGTATATGGTTAAATATATCTTTTTATTAAGACTAACTTGTTTCTTAGCAAATGAGGTCAAAATAAAACAAAGTAAGTTAAGACGTAATAAGACCGAGATAGGTTATTGACCTATTCTTATCCGTGTGAATGAATAATGTGCTCTTATTGTTCATGTCTTGAATATTATTTAATTAAGAATTGTAAGAATGTGGGTTTGACTTAATTATAAAGTGTAAGAATGGTGAACACCGTTTGGTATTCAAATAATTGCACTGTTAGATCAAATAATATCGTGACAATATTTCATTCATCTCATGGTTATTAGATATACTACTTTATATTAACTCTTATTTTAGTAAATTAATTATGGTCGAATCATACTTTTCTTCTTATTATTATTATAACTAAAATCGACAAATCGTCATATACAAATTTCTTATCATTAAATGACCGTTTAATTTTATTACTGACTTATATGATCAGAGTTTCCCTGGAACAACAAAAAATAAAATAAAAATTCCCTACCATGTATATCTCTTCTTCTTCTTTTTTCTTTTTTTTGGTATAATATGAAGGTATCCTCATTCAACCTCATTTGGTTACCTTGTTCTCGGGGTACGCCCGAAGGCTATCCCTCTTTTTCTTCTTTCATTGACTAGACTTATGTCCCATTTGCTTTATTTAAAAATGGGATTAATATTTTTATATTGTAAGAGATAATTTTATCTTCTATGCACACATAAAAATATATGAGATCCATGTATGGCCATGTAAAGAAAAGAGTGAAAAAAGAAAAATATGAATCTCTCATATACTTTTATATTTGTGTTGGAGATAAAGTTTATCTCCTACAATATAAGAAACATTAATTCCTTTAAAAATTATATATATTCAATTCAATGTCATACAGGAAGCTTCAAATCAACTTTCCAAATTTTTATGCTTGTGTTCATATTGGTTTACACTATCGAAATCAACCTACTCCTAGTAAATGCATAATACTTTATGTTTTTCTA